AAAAATAAAATATTTCTCATTTTTATTTATTAATAATAATAAATCAATTATTAAAATAAAATAAAAAACTATGTATTATAATTATATTATTTTTTTGTTCTTTTAAAAATATATTTTTATTTATTTATAAAAAAAATACTAATTAAAAATAATATTTTTTAATTATTATATTTTTCAAAAACACATAAAAAAGAAAAAATAAATTATAAAAAATTTAAATAATTTTAAAAATAAAAAATAAAAAATATTAGACAAAAACTTAATATCTATTAAAAAAAAAAAAAAATACCATGAAAAAAAGGAACTAAAAAGCGTAATCTTAAATTGTAGCAAATAACTTAAATTTATTATATGATGAGCCTTAAAAAATATTTACTGAAAGGCCATATTTAGCATAAAATAATTAATAAATTATACTAAATACCGAAACTGATTAAAAATTAATAGAATCAATATCTTTAGAAGATAATAGATTTTAAACACGGAAATAAACATAAGACGAAATTAGAATGAGGTAAACTACAGAAGATAATCTTAATAATAATTTATTTAAGAGTATTCGACTTTTACATGATGATAAAGTTGTACATACTAATTCTAAAAAAGAAAACGCTGAATAGAAAATAAATAGTAGTCATTATATAATATAAAAAAGTATCTATTAAAAAACTGCAACTAAAAAAGACTTTACAAATGATATTTATTCATAAAAAAAGATACTCTTATGTCTAAAGGAAACTATCAAGATGTATTTCCTTTAATATATGGTAATAATACTTTAATAAAAACAGTAAATAAAACGAATTTAATTTAAAGAGATATTCTGGCTTCTTTAGGAAGGAAAATGCAGATTTTCAAATTTATTTAATAACTTAGAAAATTCTAGCCTTTTAAAAATATGAACTATTTAAAAGATTATTAAATAAAAATTATAAATGATCTTGCATTTACAGATAAAAAAGATACTCTTAAGTAAAAATCTAGAATTTCGTAATAGTTTATAAAAAGTATATATACTAAATATCAACATATTGTTTCTTAAACGAAAGAAATTTTTAACAAAATTAACACTTATAGACCTAAATAAAAATCTTTTTTGTCGAAAATAAATTTAATTCATCCTTCTAGTAAGCTAATGCAAGTTTGGGAAAATTTTCATTGTTTACTAATTATTATTTGTACTTTTTTGCTTCCTATTGATGTAGTATTAGAAGTTAAATTTGTTGAAATATATACTAATATTTTTTAATATTATATTAAATTCTCTTAAATTTTTTTTCTTATTGATATTATACTAAAGTTTAATACTTAAGTATCTTATTAAGGCAAAATGATAAATTCAAGAAAGGAAATAGCTAATATATATTTTAAAACGAAGTTTGTTTAAGATTTAATAGCATTAGCAGCGGTTTTTACAGGTATTATATTAATATATATATATATATATATATATATATATATATATATATATATATATATATATATATATATGTATATATATTATTTTTTTATAGAATCTTTTGATTTATCTCGTTATATATAACTTCTTATAATTGTAAAATATTATACTTTAACTAGTATTGTTAAAACAAGATAAGATGCCTTTGTAACTAATTAAGATGGAAACTATTAATATATTCTTTAGTTATTTAGACTTTTTTTAAAAATATGCTTTATTGGACATTTTTTTTCATGTGTGTTTTTATTTATTTTAACTATTGAATAAAAATTAGGCTATTAAGGTTGGATTTAGAAATTCGAAGAAAAAAATCAATTATTTTGGTATGAGAAGTAATACAATTTCATAATAAAGATATATATACATATAAATAAAAATATATTTATAAATATATTTATATATATATAAATATATAATAAAGGTATATTTATTCTCTTTATTTCTGTGTTACTACTATGACTACAGTTGGATATGGAGATATAACTCCAAGTAATATAGTAGAAGTTGGATTTGTAATAGTATCATTAGTAGTTTTATGTAATGATATATATATATATTTATATTTTAAAAATTTTAAAATAAATTATAGCTGGTGTATATGCTTATAGTTTTAACTTTATAGGCATGATAGTGTAAGATATGAATAAAGAAAAGAAAAAATTTAAGAATGAATTATGTCTTTTAAATTATTATATGTTAAAGTTAAATATAAATAAAGACTTGAAATATTAAGTTAGAATGTTTTATTAAAATTAGCAAGGAGAAAAAGAAGATATTTCATTTGAAGATGAAGAGAATATTTTGAATAAACTATCACCTTTTCTACGAGAATAAATAATAATTAATTCAAACACATAAATTTTGAAATAATGCGGTAGTCTTTTTTCCCAATTCACTTAAGAGTTTATCGAATAACTATGCCTATGTATGGAAAAAGTAAAAATTTTAAAAGACGAAATTATTTTTAGGCCTGGAGAAATTTAAAATGACCCATGTTTTTATTACATTGAAGATGGGTAAATAGACTTATTTATAGACGATCCGAAGGTTTCTTATTATATTTAGTAAAAAAAAGATGAGAATAACTAAGAAATTAATTAAATAACAGGAAATAAAATTGTAAAAAGTTTAAAAAAAGGTGAATATTTTGGAGAAGTGAGTTTTTTTATGAATACGAAAAGATCCATAGGAGCCAAATGTTCGAAATTTTCGAAATGTTATATTATTTAAAGAAGTTAGTTTATAGAAATTCTGAAATAGTTTCCAAAAGATTTCGAAAATTATTGTATGATGAGAGACAAAATTATTTTCGATGGAATAAATATGTTAAAAGGTAAATGTTTTTCTTGTTAACATGAAGGACATAATATAAATGATTGCCATTTATTACATGCTAAATTTGATAAGGAAAAAATACTTTTAAAAGCGAATTTTAGAAATAAATAAGTTAATTATGATGGCTTTTTTAATAGAAATAAATAAAATAAATTGAAAAATTGCATTATTGAAAATTATAATATTGTATAAAAAACATTAAGTTACCGTAAATATATATTAAAATAGAGATAAAAAGGAAAAACTTTTTCTGAAAATTTTAATGAAGAAAACGAGGAAAATACGAATGTGAATAACCCTTATTAAAATTTAGAAATAAATTATGACTAAATGAATATACATAATTAATTTTAATAGGATAATTAAAATATGGAAACAGAAAAATATGAAATATAAAAAAGTGAAGATAAATTAATATATATAGATTCAATATGTTATAAATCAGAACAAAAATAAGGATTTAAAAAAAAATCATCATTTAATAAATAATTTAATAATGAAAATGCACATGAAAATGAATATTATTAAATTAATAATTAAAATAATAATAATAATAATAATAATAATAATAATAATAATAATAATAATAATAATGTCAATATTACATTTGATTAGTCTAAGTTTATTATTAATGATGACTTTAATGATTATATTACAAAACTTTTAATAGATTTGACTAGTAGAATTCATTAAAAGGATGATTCGTAAAATAAATCAAAGAAAAAGTTAAAATTTATTACTAATTTTTAAAATTTGACAACCTCCAAAATGAAAATAGATTATAATTTCGTCGATAATTTATATGTCTATGAGACAAAGTAAGATTTTAGATATTATTTCCCATTATTTAATTATTCAAATATGATTAAGAATCTGCCAGTTACAAGCAGAGAAATTATCTTTTAAAATGTTGGTTATGGAAAATATACATATTATAATAGAATATTTTTAAAGAAAAAATTTCATAATGTTCAAAAAGGAAAAAATTACAGAAATAGAATTCCTAAAACTGGTATTTTTATATAAATATAAAATATTTTAAAAAATTTATATTAATATAATATATATATTTGAAGAGGAAATAAAATATTGAATATCTTTAAAAATACTTAAATAATGAAAAAAAAATTAAATTTATAAATGAAATTATTCAGATTTTTAATATAGATATAATACTAAAAATTTTAATATTATAATAAAATTTAAATAAAATAAATAAAAATAAATTATAAATTTATAATAAAACATTATTAGTATTATAAATTTTGAATCATGTTAATAAATATTATATAAAATTTATTTTTGACTAGATTATATAATTAAGATAATAAATAAAGACAAATATGTATTATATTAAAAAAAAATTAATATAAAAAAAAAAATTATATAAATATAAATAAAATATATAAAATAAAAATTAAATTAAATAACATATTTATATAAATAATTATATTTAATATCATTTATATTAGTAATAATTATTAAAAAAATTATTTTTAAAAAAATAATAATAGATATTATGATAACTATTAATATTATTACTATTATTATTATTATTATTATTATTATTATTATTATTATTAATATTTTTTTATTTTTTTATTTTTTTTTCATTTAATTTTTAATACCATTATTTTTTTTATTTAATAATTTTTTGTATTTATATTAAATCAATTTTATTTCTTTAAATATTTTTTTTTATATATTTATATTTTTTATTTTAATAATTTATATTTTTTTTTAATTTGTATTTTTAATTTATAATTTTAAATTTATATTAGATTTTTTTTTTATATTTTATTCTTATTTTAATTTTTATATAAAATATATAATTTATTTTTAATTTTTATATTATATATAATTAATTTTTTTTTTATAGGTTTTATATATTTATTTAAATTTATAAAATTAATAAATTATTTATTGTTTATATTTAAATTAATTTTTATTTATTTAATTTATATATATTTTTATAAATTCTTTTGTATATTCTTTTGTATTTTTTTTTTTTTTTTTTTTTTTAATAATATAATAAACTCGAAAATTCTGTAATTTGTTCTCTGTCTTTATATGTATTTTTTTAAATTTGAAATAATTTGTATATTTACTATATTCAAATTTTATTTTATATTATTGTTTTTCTTAAAATTATATTAATAAATTACTATAATTATTTTTGTTAAATATTAAATAAATATAAATAAAATTATAAACTTAAGATAATAAAACAATACAAAATATTAATAAAACTAAAATAAATTATATGTTTAACTAAAAAAATCAATGGTGTATTTTATTTTACTATATACTAAATATCATCATACCATCTCGTAGTATATTTATCAAAAGCATCATAAATAATATCTTTCATATATCTAGCTGCATCAATATCATTTTTATTTAACACAAATCTTTTAGTTAATTCCCTCATCGAATTTTTCAAAAAGCACGGTAAAGAACTCTAAAGCATAAGTTTAATAGTGTTAAATATTTCTTCATAATAATTTCTTATAACTAAGAAAGCCTTAATCGTGAGATTTACATAAAATTAAAATGCCTCTGAATTCTTGGATCCTCCCATAATTTAAATCATTTCTTTCGTCAATTTAAAATTAGCACTTTCAAATTTCATATTTCCTCCCGGCGATATATCAAAAATAAATCCGAAATCAATATGAATTAAATGTCCTTTATCATTAATCAGAATATTTCCATTATGTCTATCTTTTATTTATAAAATATAAGAAATAACGCTATACGCAGCCTAACTTTTTATAAAATTTTCCCTTGCAATTTAAAAATTAAGACTATCTTCCTATCCGAACTTATTTATGAAATATTAATATAAATTACACTAGTTAGTTTTCCCTAATTAATCACGAGAAATTGCATTTTTTACACATTCGATTATACCACCAATATCTAAGTTTTGACCCGTTCGATTTGATATTGTTTTATAAGGAAAAACGCATAAAGGAACATTTGCCTTTTCGAAAATTCCCTAAAATAGTGTTATTATCTATAAAGCAAGTTAGTCTTGTCTTACATCGTCGAAAACTTTGAATATACAACTTACTTATGAAGGCTATTTTTTTTAACCTAACTGTTATTCTTTCTTTTTTTATTCAGAAGGAGGTATTATTCCTAATTGCAAATATTAATCACCAACTTTATCTTGAAGATCAGAGAGTAGAATGTGATTTTAATGAGTGAAAAAATAATTGCTTTTAGTTGCCGAGGAGACCAAAAAACCATTTAAATCATCTTCTTTTATGCTTTATTTTAAAGACGCGGAATTAGATTAGGAAGGGAATTATTTGATTTACAAAGGAGGGTTTAAACTGTTTATTTTGGCTTCTTAATCTTTTTCATCATATATGATTTATTATTCATCTTAGTAAAAAGGATCATTTAAAAGAGCATCACTTACGAGTTCAAAATTGACATTTTGAGTTTACTTTAAAATCTTTATTTAATTAAATCTGTTTTCTTTATGTTTTTTTCCAATTTTAGTCTAGAAATATTTATCCGGACCCTCATATTTACGGCAATAAAAAGTAACCATTATAGGACACTTAGCAGCACTTTACATAGGTGAACCTGAATCGAGTTTTATGGAAACTATTTAATATCGAGGATTTGTAGGCATATATATATCTTAAGTAACTTCTATTAAAGTTAGTTATTCTTTAATAATTTAACGTTTCTCAGATTTAGAATAATGGGGTTTTAACATGCCTGAAACAGAGGTCACTTATTCGAAAAAAGAGTTTACTTTTGTCCAAAATTCTTGTTGGTCAAGATCCATATTTCTTTCAACTTTTTCAATTATGTTTTTTGAAATTTATTCAATTAGTTTTAGGTTAGAAGGAATTTTTTATTTTTTATTTTTTTTATTTTCGTCATTTTTAGATTCGACTTTAGCCATCCAAATTAATTAATGAGCAAATAAAACGGAAAATTACGAATAATCTATCAAAAATTATTTTATTATAGGACCTGCTTTATTTCCTAAAGAGATGTATATTTAAGGTAAGTAGAAAATCAATTGCTCAGACTATAACTTATTCATAGTTTTTGTAAAAAACAATTATAAATGACCATGTTTCTCGTATTCTTAAGATATATATTTTAACATAATTTATATATGAGGAGTTCTCCAATATATATTTTCTTTCATTAATTCTAAGTCATCTGGGAAATTCTCTATTAGTAATTCAAGAAAATGACTACTGTTTAAATGATCTTTAAAACTAGCTTTTATAAATTAGGCTAATGTTTTTAAATATGGCTGTTTTTATATAATAAAAAAATAAAAAAAATATGAATATAAAATATTATATAAATAAATATATATATATATTTATATATATATATATATATTATTTTATTTATACTAATATTTATATATATTATACTTATGGTTTGGTTATGGAATGCGATAATTTTCTTAATATATAAAGAGTTAAAGAAGGAGATTTTCTTATTAATTCAGACATAATACCTTTAACTACTTCATCACTTAATCCTTTTGATGCCAACGAATAAGGATTTTTAATCACATTATATTTATCTATAAATTCTGAATATGAATTTGCTCTTAATCTATCGATTTCTTCACTTAGTAAAATAATAAGTGCTTTTCTTAAATAAAAAGGTTTAATTTATTTTTCTTTTTCTTTTTCTTTATCATAATAAAGATTTAGTGAAAAGATGCAACTATTTAAATATCCTACTGAAGTTTCAATTTTTTTAAACCAAGTGATTTTTTGTGAAATTTTAATAAAAAAATTATTATCATAATCAAAATTTCCGATATTAATTTAAACTGCCCTATATCTTTTTTTCGATTTTTTCTTTTTTTTGACAAAAGCCTACTCGAAAATTTCATTTAGCTTATCAGTATCTAAATATTTACAAACTGTAAGTACTAATTTTATTTAATCTTTTGTTTTATTGATTTTTTAAGCTCCCGATGTATCGGAATTCCAAGTTAAATTTTTCGCAAAATGATAAAGCCCAAATTTTAACATTCTATAGTAATAATTTTCTAGTTTTTACTAGTCAGGAGAATTAAACCTACTTTTATATTCTTTCTAAATCTATAATAACTCGATCCAACTTTTTAGACATAAGCAAATATTTTCTAAAGGCACAAATTCAATAACTGCTTTGTCTATTTTAAAATTTAAGTTCAAAATATTGGCTATTGTGGAAGTTTTTAAAGATTTCGCAATATGAACTTGCATATTTTCATTTAAAAAACCTAAAAGCATTTTGTGCATTTTAAATAGACTTTTTTCCTATATTTCGTGAAAAGAAATTATATTTGGAAGCTAAGAAAAATAAGAATATTCGTTTTGGGAAATTTCTTTTATAATCTCCAAAAAACGTAACGAACAAAAATTTTAAGCTTCGTAACTCACTAAGTCTTTAAAAATATTTATTCTTACTTCAAATATATCATTGTTCTAGTTTCTTTTTTCCAAATAAAGATTTCCTTAGTTATTTATTCTGTAAATGATATAATTTAAGAGTTCACCGAGTATATAAAATAAAGTCGAGTCGAAATAATTAGATTATAAAGAATGCATAAATGGAATAAATCTATATAATAAATATTTCAGTAGTTTCGGTTGTAAATATGTCCTGGCTAAATCTAAAAGATTGCTCAATATGTGATTTTTTAATTATTATTTTTTCATCATTATGGTCCTAAAAGAGGCTACTTTAGTCTTCATTTCATTTGAGATTTCTTCTTTTAATTAATACAGTTGTTTTTTTATCTCCATAGAGCTATTATTACTTTGGATTATTTATAAGATATGAGGGTTTATATTTGGTGTCAAATTATTGTTATTGAGGACTATATGTCTTATTTAGGAAAAAGTATTTGTGCAAATAAAATCTATTATATTTAGGTTAAAGCAATAATTGGCTATTTCTTTAAATCTTTATTCCATTGAAATTTATAAATTGATTTATTACATATTTTTTCTTTAAAGAGTGTTTTCATCTTAAATTTTATCCTCCATTTAAAATTCTAGTTCGATTTCATTGTGTATAGAATTTTCTATTTTATCTATTATGAGTCTAAAATTAGCCGGGAAGTCCTTTACATTAAATAATTCAATAAAATTTCTATCTACTATATAATTTTATAAATTGCAACTATTAATTCTGTTTTCGAATTCTTATTAATTTACCAACCATAAAAAAGGATTACACATAAGAATATTTTCTTATATTTAAGTTCTATCTCCTCTAAAATTCACACTCTCGTATTTTAAAAATCTATACCCGAAGTCTATTTTAGATGAAATACTAGCTTCTTATTTAACAATGTGTTAAATGAGTACTTTTAGGAAATTATGATCTATAAAATGCGCTTTAAAAATTAACTTTTATAGCAAAGACATTAACATAATTAAAATTCCCCCCATTCTTTTAATATCTGTAGGTAAATTAATTTAATAAAGGAGATATTTGCCTTCCAATAAAGAGGATTTAGAGTCATATTCATAACTTAGTTTTTAATATAAAGCAGTTAAACATTCACTAAAAGTCATTAAAATAGTTGGATTAAAAGCCAATTAAGGGAACCATATAATATATTTTTTAACCATTTCTAATGAAAAATCACTCGCGGGAATATCTGCTGAACAACTTGCTTCGATTAAATATTATAAGTCTTTTATTAAGATCTCATCTTTTACAGTTAATGATGTTAATTTTACTTCTAAAAACATATTCATGTACTTTTGGCTAATTTCTTTAACCAAAAGTTCCATTGATCGGAAAGTTTTTGCGTTTAAACCTATTTTCCGTAAATAAAAAAAAATACTTTCATATAAGGAAGGTTTATAAAATTAATATATGGTATGCAAATTTTCCTTTAAAAGAGTTATTTTTCTGTTCATTATTTCTTCTTATATTAAACAGTGTAAAAGCTCGTTTAGAGGGATGTTTTATTACTCTTTAGTGTCTAATTTAAAGGCGTCTTTGTATTTTTTAGATAAATCTTTTTTATAAAAGTCCTTATTATGTTCTATTAACTCAATTATCTTACTGGCTACGAATGTTACTTGTTCTCCTTCTTGGAAATTAGGGGTTAATAATGCAATCATATTAATACTTTGATTGAAATTTTACATTTCTTTATCATTTTAAGTTATTGAGAGTATTTATTTATTTAAAATAAAAAAAACCCAGAATTCTGTCATGGCAACACTGGCTGATTATAATTAAATATTTAAATTCTAGTTTTGTATAAAAGAATATTTTTATAGAAAAATTTTAAGACACTCAGAAATTAAAGGCAGGATTTAAAAAGCTTATTTTATGAGTATTTTTTTATCTTAAATGCTAGTTTTTTTAATTATACTCTCTTTTTCTATTTTGAAGAAATTCTCGTTAAATTTCTATATTAAATCTAAAAAAAAAGCTATTTTTTCATCAAAAGAGCAACTTTGTAAATTTATTAGTAGTTTATTCACTATTATTTATATTAAAAACTCATTATCTTATTATTTTTGTTCAAAAACGATTAAAAAACCCTTATTTAAGTCTGATAAAGCTCTCTTTTTTAATTCTTTTTCCTTTATATGTTATATTAATTCTAAATGAAACTAAAATAGCTTTTTTGTTATTATATGTTGATTTTTTAGGAATTTTTATGATAGGAAACCTATGAGGTCGAATTTCGGTAAAATTATGTCAGAAAGGATTAAAATCTAGAATGAATATTCCTTATTCTCTTAAAAAAGAACGGTTTATTGATTTTCATTTTGGATGTTTTCAATACAGTTGTTGTTTAGGTCTTCTGTGTACATGTTTTTTGTTTTAAAAAAAGCTGTAATGATGTTTTGGAAGGATATTATTTCATATTTATCGTCTTCGAGGATTTATTCTTTATGTTAATTGGCATTCCTTAGTTCTTAAAAGTGCACTAGCATTTTCAATATTCGACTTTTGCGTTTATCTACAAGGCCATTTTTAGAATTCATTACTAAGGAACTTACTTCTTCATAATTAAAAGACCTAACAATTACTTTTTCAATGTTTTTGTTAATTTTTTTTAGTTTTAGTTAGAGGTTTTATTTTTCTAAAAAATGCTCTTTTTAGCTTTTATATGAATAAGAAAGAGCAGTTATAGATTTGTGGGCTTTTCTCAAAATTTCATAAAAGTCTATGTTTTCTAAATTATCGAAACCCAAATATTATATTTTAGAAAAATTCAAACAAAAATCGAGAATTTCGCAAAGACTGAATTTCTCTATATGCTTTTCCAATAAATTAAATGTACTTTCGAAAACTTTTCTTGATTATTCTTTTACAACTTAATCAAATGCTTTTTATCTCCTCTATCTTACTAGCTTTAAATAAAAAATAATTGCTATAGGTAATTTATCTATTTATTGAAATTTTAAACATATTGTGATAAATTTAAAACATAATTCATATATAGAAACTAACTTTTCTGGAGAAGAAAAACTAAAACTTAGCTATTGCGAAAATTTGTTTGCTAATCCTATTATTAAGTAAAGTTCGTAGAAATTTTAATTGAATAAATTTATGTATTTTTCTTTGTTTTATTAGTCTTTGTTGATTATTTATATAGAATTTTTAGAATAATCGATTTAATTTTCATTTATTATTATAATGTTAATTATATCAACCTTTAAAAAAATAAAATAGATATGTAAGAATATAGAAAAAATATATATAAAATTAAATATAATTATATATATATATATATTTTATTTATATTTTTATTTTTATTTTTACTAATTTTTCATTTATTAGTTTTATGTTCATTTTATCAATTATATAATTATTTTAATCATATAAAATTAATGTATTAATCCATGCTCTTGAAAACAAATTTAATTTAATTGTTTTGTTATTAGTAATGTTTTCAAGAAAATTATTGAGGAATGAAATAATAATTAATTCAAGATTTTTAATAAAAGCTTTTAATTTTATATTATTTATTTTATTTTCTTATAGGCTTTAATCGTAGTTATATTAATATTTTGTTAAAGAACCTAAAAACTGTTTCACATTTTATTCAAAGTCTTGAGATATTTTTTTAGATTTTTAATACGCATCGTATCTTTATTAAGGTTGCCCGACTAAAGTTGATATAAAGTCTAATATTTCTGAAAACTTCTCAGGCATATTTGATGATAATTATAAACATAAATCGAATATGTTATTATCGTAATTCTTTTTGTAAAATTAAGTGATTTGTAAACTTTCTTGGATTAAATTACATAATATTGTTTGGTCGTTTATTGATATTAGATTATCTTTTTTTTATGTATTTTATTTTAGTAATTAGTATATTTATTTGTTTAGGCTAGTTCGCATTTTTATATTTTTCAACCTAATTTAATTTACTTTTTGTTATTTATATTAGATAAAAAAAAATATTATATATATTTAAAAATGTATAAAAAATAAATAATAATAATAAAATTATATATATATACATATATATATATATATATATATATATATTTATATATTCATATACTTATTATATATTCTCTAAAATATGTTAAGGAATAGATATTATAAATAAAAAAATTATATTATTTCAAAAATATTAAAATTTTAAAAAATAATAATTCTGATTATTTAAAACCTTTTAAAATTTAGAAAAAAAGTTTTTAAACATAAAGTAAGTTTTAACTTTTAAATTATTTTAATAAAAAACTATTTAAAATTTATTTAATAATAAAATTAAATACATATAATAAGTATGAATGTAAATATTTGTAGCTTCATAATTTTTATAAATAAAATTTATAAGAATTCTTTTTAAAATACATGATTTCATTAATATAATAAATTATATTTTTGTTTCATAACTATAATAAAATTTATTTTAAAAAATTATAATTTAGGTATATTTTCCAGTAATCATACAACTATTTTTTAAGAAAATAATATATAATTAATATTTAATTTAATATCAATATCTATAAAAAAAAATATTAAGATATATTATTTTAGTATAATTATTTTATTTATAAACTAGTTTACAAATATAAAAATTATTGACAGAAATGTTATAATTTTTTATAAAATATAGAATATTTATAACTAGAAATAAAAAAGAATTTAGTTTAAAAATTAAACAAATAAATGACATAATTAATATAATTATAATATATAGTATATTAGCATTTTAATAAAGTTTAAAAAAATAAAAATCTTTACTATTTTTGAGTCAATAAAAACATAAAAAAAAATGTAATATATAAATTTAAAAACAATAAATTATAAAATTTATTAGTATAATAAATCATAAATTGTTCTCAAATGTACAAATGTAAGTTTTTAATACTAATTATTAAATATATAAATAATTAATGTTTCTTATAAACAAAAAATAGTAAAAAATATTATAGTTATTTGTAATATTATTTATAAAAAAATTATTCTTTATCAATTTTTATAATATAATGAATTATTTTTCTTATTTATAAGTTTTATATATTAGTAATTTATAATTATTAAGCTATTCATTTATTTAATTATTATTATTCTGTTCAATAATTTAATTAATTAAACATCAAGAAATAATTAGATTAAATATATATATATATATATATATAAATTAAAATCTTAATAAAATAAAAAGTAAATAAAATCAATTATAATCTTATATAAAATTATTTAAAAAATAAAATAAAATTTCCCAAAACAAACATTTTTATATAATATATAAATGCCAATAAAAACAAATCACGAACAATCAGGCGTTTTCCATCCATCTTCAATAGCAATATCTTAAATAACTTCCCTGTGAGTAGTCCAAACATGCAAAATGGCTTCTTTAGTTCCAATACCAGCCCCTCTCGGATCTCCACAAGGTCCGAACCAATGATTTTAGGGTGCTCCAGTAGTCCTAGCCCTAATTCCCGTATAAGTGACTCCATTGATAGTATTTGAGGCAATTTTATTAATAAAAACCATATCATTAGAAACTACGGCTGCAGTAAGATGATTTTCCATTTAATTGAAATGTTAGAGTACTTCGTTTAGTTCGTTGTCATCTTTATATTCTGTTATGATTTAGAAAGGTCCGAAAGTTCCTTTGTTGCCAAATTCAAAATTTTTAGAGATTGTTTTAAAGGCAAAAATATCGCCGTAGGCTCATATGAGCCATATATTTCTGGGATTTAGTGATTTTTTAATACTTTACCTCCAAAAAGTAACTTTGCGCCTTCTAGTTTTAATAATTAATCAACATGATGTTATATTTATTGGTTATTCCAAGTCAAAACAGGTCCTATGGTTAAATCTGAAAGCTTTCTTCGGCTTTGTAGAGCCTTTAGTTTATCCAAAAAACCGTTTTTTATCCAATTTTAATGGCAATATAGGATACTTTAAGCCGAACATTTTTAACCAGTAGCAGCATATGCATCTTAATCACATTGCCAGGCTACATAGTCTATATTTGAGACATCAGGACCTTATAATTTCCAGTCAAAACCCGCGTCTTCGATTTTAACTTTTCCATGTGTCAATTTACTTAATTTTTCTGCAACTTTAGATGACCCAGTGAATTAGATTAATCTATATTTGCTCTCTAAGATTACCCTCTCCATATCCTAAGGCTAACAGTTCAAAAAATCTAAATCATGAGCAGGAAGACCATTATGTAAGGCAAATCTTAAAATTGTTCCATCACTAAAGCTACTTTAGAGTCTACTCTTAGTGTAGGACGATTCCCAGTTATTAATGCACCGAATAATTACAAAACAGGAATCTCTATTGGGAAATTAAATGGACAAATTATACTCACAGGACCATAAGGCCAGCGATAGCCGGTTGATTATTGTCCTTAATGATCGCCGGGTACGGAGAACGATTTAGATAAAAAACGAGGATTATCACCTGTAAAATTTTCTAAAAAGCGGCGAGTTACTACTACTTCACCTTATGCTTATATGTAACTTTTTGGCATTACCTATATTTTATATATTTATATTTATATACATAATTTATTTCTACCCTTTAAGTTAAGACAGTAAAGAATTTCTCTATTTCGGGTTTTCTTAATTCTTCGGATAATTTTAGTAATAGTTAACCATATTATTAATATCTTTGGGGGTTTTTTAAAGGATTATGGAGGCCGGATAAGGGAACTTATTTTACGTTGTTTATAAAATCGGTTAATTCATCGTCTTTAGTCTCGGGGACTTGGAGTATTTTTTCACCGTTTAATGGGTCGACTATTGTTGTATATTCACGGGTGAAACGCCATTCACCTTTGACGAAATTCTAGAGCTTGTATGGGTTAGATTTATTAAGTTTATATGGATTACATGTGGCCCAAGATGGTATTTCTGAGAAATTTCTTTAGAGGACTTTTTAGAGTTATTTTTAGATCATTTTTTTGTTTAGTTTTTTTATTTTTCTTTGGTATATATTTAATTTTTTATTTAAATTATTTTATTTTTATTTTTTTAATATTTATAAAGTTTTATAAGATTTTAGGATATTTGGAATTTTAATACATTATAAAATAATGTGATTAGTAAATTGACAAATATACTTTTTTATTTTAAATTTTATTTTTTTATATATAAAACATAAACATTATTTTTTATTATTTTAAGAATTATTTAATAGTGTTTTTTTTTTAAAATTAATTATATGTGTTTCTAAAATAATATATTTAATAAATAAACTTATTTATATTTTTTATTTATTTTATTTTTTCCAAAATAAAAATATATTTTAATTTTTTTTTATAAATTATTATAATTCATTTTTATTAAAAATAAATATTGAAATATTTGATATAAGCTTTATTATATTAGAACTAATAAAAATAAAGCTAAAAATATAAAGACAATAAAAAAAAAGCTTTTAATAAAAAATTAATTTTTGTTATGTTTTATACCACAATTAAAAAATAAATATAATATTTAAAAAATATTAGTTATAATATATTTTTTTTATAAAAATAAATAAAATAATGATATTATATAAAATAAAAAACAATAATATATAACATATATTAACTTATATATAGCCTAAGGCATAACTTTATATCTTCAAAATAATTAAAAATAATCTAGGTTCTAAATTTAAAACTTTGCTATAAGCTATATAAACTCTAAAATTTTCCTTAATTTTCTTTATTTTAAATTTCCTTTTTATATAAATATTAAACTAAATTTTTTATCATCTCAAACTCGTATATATTTGTTTATTAATCCACTTAATAACTAAAAATAATTTTCAGTCCTTGTTATTTTATAAATATAAAATGTCCCAAATAGAATTTATATAAAAAACTTTTAAAAATAAACAATATAATTTTCTAGTTTTTTTCAGTTCAAAAATCTTTTTATTTCCAATACATTTTTATTTTAAACATAAAATGTTTAATCCAGACATCCATTATACTATTTAACAACTCAATTGCACTTAAGTAAAATTATTTAAAAATAACACAATCATATTAAAATTAATAGACATAATATAAAGCACATAATTTTGTTTTTTAAGCATTTGGTAATATTAATATCCATAAACTTTGTTTTTATATAAATACTAATAAATTTTAATAAGTAATAAAGATATTTATATTATTGAAAATGAAATTGAGTATTTAACATAATTTTTATTCTTAATCTTTATTTATATATTAATAAGAAAATTATTGGTTATAAATGAAATTTTGAATAGAAAAATGATAAAAATATATAATAAAAAAGTTAAGTATACGCGACATAATTAAAATTAGGTTTTATTTAGAAAAAATACATTTATTAAATATAGAATGATAATAAAAAAAATATACATTAATAATATAAAAAAATAATAAATAAAAATAAGTTTAAATATAGTATAATAATAAAGATATTTATATATATAAATATTATATAAATATATAAAGAAATATATTTTTTTATAAATTATATAAAAATTTTTAAATATTTATATATATTCATTAATATTTTTTTTAATTTTTTCAATAATTATTTGTAATATTTTATATCATATTATATCTATTTTTATTTTTATATTTTATTTTTTTAATTTTATATTTTATTTTTATTTATTATATTTTTTTTAAATATATTTTTATTTTAAAGTCTTAATTTAATAATTTCTTAATTTATTTTGATATTTTATTTTTTTTAATTCTTATTTTTTGAAAAAAAATATATATTATTTTATTAATATGCATTTAATATAATTTTCAATAAATATTATATTATATATATTTTTTATATTAAATTAATTCTCTTCATATATTTATTTTATAAAATATTATAAAACTATAAATATTACAAATATTTTTATTATTTTTTTATTCATTTTTTAAAAAATTTTTGAAAATTTGTTTAAATTTATTAATATTTTTATTTTTACTTTTTATATAATTTTAAACATTAGAATTTAAATTTTAATAATCTGATATATCTGCAATAATTTTTATAGTTTGATTAATTTTTAAAAATAATTTTAAGTAATGTAGTATTATAAATATTATTAATATTTATATTTTTTATTAAATTATTTTCTATTTATATTTAATAATATTTAAATATATTTTTTATATATATATTTTAATAATTCATATATTATTTTCAAAAAAATAATCATTATTATATTTAAACCTTATTTTAAATAATATTAAAATAATTAAAATTTGTTTTTTTTAAAAAAAAATAATAATTATAAAATAAATTTAAATATAAATAATTATAAAATATATTTAAATAAAACAAATCAAATCAAATCAAATATGGAAAATATAGATTAATAAAATGACATTTAAAATTAATAAAACAATCAGACTTAAGAAAATGTATAAGGCTTTTAATAAGAAAATCAAAATGAAATTAACAATGAATAAAATGAAAATTAAGATAATTAAAATGAAAATAATCCGCAATAAAATAACTCAAATGAGCCACTTTATTTGATAATGAACTAAATAAATAATATAAATTATAATATATTTTTATAAGAAGAAAGCTTCCAATAAGTTATAAATATAATGAAATTAGAAGAAGATATATAATTTGATAATATAGATTTTAGAAATAATAATTAAGACGGAAACATTAATTTAGAAATAGAGAAAATAATAAAGAAAAGCCAAGAAAAGCAATAAATAATAATTAATTTTATTTTATAAATTTACTAAACTTAAATGCCTGGAGAACAAATGAATAATTTAGAGAAAATAATGGGAATTTTGAAAAGTAAATATAAAGAAATTTATATTAAAAAAAATAGTTCTCCTTAGATTTAATTTTGTACATCATGTTAATGTCATGAGAAAAAGCCTAATTAAAATACACAAATTTAAGATATATAAGATGTTAATGATAATTAATTAATTTTTATATAAGAAAAAAAAGATTAATATGTAGATAATTAATATATATGCTAGTAAGATATAAATGAAAATATATAAATAGAATAATAATAAAACGATTTATTATAAGAACATAGTGATATCAAATAAAATTAGGATGATTTATAATAAGTTTTTGATAATAATATTTGTTAATAATAATAAAAATTAAACGGAAAGTTTTAAAAAATATAAGATTTTAATTAAGAGATTGATCAAAATAATAAAAAAATAAATAATTATAATCAATAAATATACGAAAATAAATAAAAAATAATAGAATGTTAGTAAATAATTAACTAAAATAACACTGAAATAATAAACCAATAAAAATAATTTTCCTAAATCATAAATTAAAATTAAAATAATGTCGTATAATCCGATAAAAAAATTCAAACAGATACTAGAGAATATGAAGAATACAAGGAAGAAGAACTACAAAAAGATTCTTAATAAAATAACTTTTTAATGTCGGTTAGATAAATCAATTAAATTTTATAAATGAAGTTTGTAGATATGTAATTATTTAAAAAATATGATCCAATAGAAAACTCTATAACATTTGAAATGAGTAATTCATATACAGTTATATTAAAAAGTAATGAACATATAAACTATAGTACAGAGTCTTTATGTTCAAAAATACCCCATTTTGTATTTTAGGATCATATATTCCCGTTTTTAAGTTCTTATGAATTATTTAAAATGAGAGCTGTCTGTAATGAATGGAGAATAATGGTAAGGGAAGTATGGCATAATACATTCAAAAGAGATATGTAGGAATAATTAATGGTAAGTGATATAATAAAAGATATTGAATAATAGTTTAATATAGTTTAATTCAGGAGTATATTTCTATAAAGAATTTTTATACTTTTGAAAGGGATTCTCGGAAATATTAATTGGGAAGAAATTGAGAGTAAATTTTTATAAGATTAATTAAATTTAAAAGAGAAAAAAATAATTTTTTCAATACTGAAATTATTAGGAGTTTATTTTGATAATAATAGAAATGTGAATTGTTTATAAGATTTTGATGAAGCAAAAGACTTTGATAATTTTAAAACTGAAATAAATGTTAATTTAAGGGAATATATGAATTCTATTTTTGGAAGTAATTTTAATTTTTTAAAATCTTACGAAATTAAAAAATTCAAGTAAAATTTCTTCTAAAATAGCGATTTATAAGCTATTTCTTATTTAAATGAAGAAGATAAAAATTGTCTTTTAATGGTTTTATATTTAAAATAAGTATATATATATGCATTGATAAAAAACCATATATAAGCAGCTTAAATTTACATTCAGTTTTCTAAATAAAGGCTGGATAAAATTTCTAAAGGTTTTGTTTAGAATAAAGAGTTTTTAGAAGGCGCGTTTAAAATTTTACTTTTGAGAAATGTTAAGATTGTTAATAAAAAAATTGTTTCGGATGAATATGAAGAGCCATAAAATTTGTTTTAGAATATTAATGGGGAGGAGAATGAGGAAAATCAAATTTAATAAGAAAGTGATGTTTCTAAATTGTTAAAGTCAGTCTTTAATATTTAAAAAAATAATGAAATTGAACCAGATTTTATTATTTAAAAAAAAGGATATGTTACAAATGTTTTCTTAGATTAGGGAACAAAACTTGATATAATTTTAAGTTGTGTAGCAAGCTTTGGAAATAATTAAATATATAATAATAACTTGGAAGAAGGAGAAAATAATTTATAAGAGGATAATTAAATTTTTTGTTAATAAAAATTATTTAAAGATGAAAATAATTAAAAAAATGAAAATTTTGAAATAAATAATAAAAAAAATTAATGATAATTTTTTTTTTAAATAAAAAAAGTTTTTTTTTTTTTTTTTTTTTTTTTCGTCATTAATAAATTTTTTAAACATAGTAAATTTTTTATACACAATTTATAAATATATATATATAAATTATTAAAACAAAAATAATCAATAAAAAATATAATTAAATGAAAAAATAATTATAAGAAATTATAATAGTTATAAAAAAATAATTGGCTTTA